TGGGCAGGAAATGATCACGTATCCATTTTAGTCAAGATGCATCCCTGTCCCCTTTTAAATGAAAAGTGTTCAGTCTATTTGACTTGCCACCAAATTACTATTAGCCACCACATCAAGTCCGTCAATATTAGTCTCTACTGCTGGGAGGTTGGATATTTATTACTGAGAGTTACTGATCATAGAAAGCCAGATCCCATGCCTCTGAACTCATATGTGGCTAGATATTGACTGTGAGATGTTCCCAGAGAATACATATAAACTTGGATGAGGCCACTTTCTTCTGCCAAAGGCAGTTTCTGCAGAGGGATTTGATGATTAGACACCAGGGACCAAAACTTCTAGTATTGGAGGGAATATGTTCTTTGGTCTCAACTGGGTAATAGTTCCATCATCTTTAGCAGGCTTCTTATTGTCTGTTTCATGTCCATGTCGCCTTATCACACTCGAAGAATGAAGACAGCAGAGCAGAGGTAAATGAACCTGAGTTTTGGCTTCATCCTCAAGTCGCCAGTCAGTCTGGGACAGCCTATCCCTGTGCTTCTTAAGTAAACAAACTGTCCTTTCTATTGAAGACACAGATATCCAGCTGCACGGAATCAAAGGCGTTCTAACTCAGGAGCCACCAGAGATAATCCTGTTACCCTGTGTCCTATGAGATAAGTGCAGTTATCAGTCTCATCTCAGAAATGAAAGCTCCAAAGCTTAGAGTATAACTTGCTTAGGGTCACACAGCTGGTATTGGTGGAGCCTATCCTGAAACTGGGTACCATCTGGACCCACAGTCCAAGCTCTTTATGGATGTACAGGTGTGTGTGTGTGTGTGTGATGCCTGATCAAGTGGAAAGAGGTATGGTCACTCTACGGGTCTGATGGGAACAGTAGCCTGTGTGTAGTTAACAGCCCACATATTCTAGTAGAGCTGCCCTCAAGAAGCCTACTGTCCTCCTACTTATTGTAGTGGATTGCTAACCTGTGGGGAAAATAGCCTTTATAGAGTTTCTTAAGAATCGTGGGGAGATCACACTAAATGCCCGATGGACCCCAAACCCAATGACAAATGTCCTTATAAGAGTCATACAGAAGAGACCTGACAGAAGAAAAGGAAGCAATGACTGTGGAAGCAGAGATGGAGGTGATGCAGATATGAGCCAAGAACCCCTTAAGGAGACAAGAATGGAATCTTCTTTACTGGGGCCTTTGCAGGGAGCACACCCCAGGCTAAAACATTGACTTTGGGCAGATGGCCACCAAAACTAAGTAGGCGGGAATAAATGTCTGTTTGATGCCAATTCTTGGTGATTTGTCATGGCAACCTTCAGAAGCTATCAACAGGGACCCTCCTCTGTGTACTTACCCTTTCTTGTGAAAGGTGAGCGGACACTCGCCTTCCGGTTCCATCGCTGCTTTCCTCATGCAGTAAATTTCTATTGGATTCCTTTAGGCTTTAAGGATAGAGCAGGACTAGTTCCCCAATAGAGGTGCATACACTTACAGAGACATGAACCCATATTTTTCCAGGAAAGCGGTCTGAAGCTACTATATTCTCAAGTCTGGATAGGCTTCAGAAACCCTCAAGCATTTCTGAGAGCCAGTCTGAGCAAAAGCTATGGGAGAGATGCACCATAGAGGGAAGATAAAAGACACTAGTATACACATACACACACACACAGAGAGAGAGAGAGAGAGAGAGAGAGAGAGAGAGAGAGAGAGAGAGAGAGAGAATGAGTATATGGAGTTAACCTATTAACCTATAACATGGCAACATTGTTCTTACTAAATATCAGAGCATAAATAAATGTCCAGCGCTGGGTATGAGTTACTGCTTTTGGAGATGTTGGCCAGTTCTACTGCTTTGATGAAACATCATAACAAAAAGCAACTTGGGGAGATAAGGATTTATTTGGTTTATGCTTCCACATCACAGTTCATCCTCAAAGAAAATCAGGACAGAAACTCAAACAGGGAAGGAACCTGGAGGCAGGAGCTGATGCAGAGGCTATGGAGGGGTGCTTCTTACTGGAACCCCCTTACATGACCTGGTCAGCCTGATTTCTTTTTTTTTTTTTTTTTTGTTTTTTTTTTTTTGGTTTTTTTTTTTTTTGGTTTTTTTTGAGACAGGGTTTCTCTGTGTAGCTTTGCGCCTTTCCTGGAACTCACTTGGTAGCCCAGGCTGGCCTCGAACTCACAGAGATCCGCCTGGCTCTGCCTCCCGAGTGCTGGGATTAAAGGCGTGCGCCACCACCGCCCGGCTCTGATTTCTTATAGAGCCCAGGACCACCAGCCCAGTGATGGCACTACCCACAATGGGCTGGGCCCTCCCCCATCAATCACTAATTAAGGAAATGCCTTACAGACTTGCCTGCAGCCAGATTTTATGGAGGCATTTTCTCAATTGAGGTTCCCTCCTCTCTGATGACTCTAGCTTGTGTCACATTGACATAAAACTAGCCAGCATAGGTCCCTAGACCCCCAAACATTTCAGACTGCTCCCACTGTTCCTGATTATCCTCCAAAACATGACAGTAAGACTCTATTGTTGAAGACACCACATGTTTGAGTCATAGAAGAGGACGAAGTCAAGCTCTTACAGTCCCGGAAGTTTCATCCCCACTAACTAGATTTCATAGTGCTAGAAGGTGCTACACAAGCCACCAGAGGAGAAAAGTAAGCACCAATCATACCCAGCTATTAACCTCGTGAGATACAATAGTGACAGATCTGGAAAGACACACCAACTGGTCCAGCAGTGGCATGAGGTTAGTGGGAATATCCAACAACTTTCTGATTGAGTTTAAGTCCTACTCTCCGAGATGGAACCCATATCTGGCACCATTCCTCAGCTAAGAACCTACGGTTGGACGAGATCATAGAGCTGGGGGAAAACCTGCTGCTTTTGTGCTGCCAACTGGACATAATATGAAACTGACTCCTAATGACTTATCATTGTTCCTCTAGATGAAGGATCTCTCGTCCCTTATCTGAGAAGCTTCTATTTGTATAGATGATAATTAATACAGTGACCCACCTCTAACTACAGCTAGAGAATCAGAGGCTGCAGAATTCTCAGCCCTCAAAAGAACATATATACTGCACTCCACTCCCAAGGCTCAGGGATCCCTCAGACAGAAGAGAGGGCAGAAAAAGTGTAAGAGTCTGATGTGGTAAATAACTACAAGGGAACATTATCTTCTGAGTACAGTATGGCAGTCACAATACTTGTGCAAGCCTAAGCCAGACCAAATCCCGGAATGGAGAGGTAGACGAATTAGGCACACAGTTCCACTCCTAGCCATGGAACTATTGGCAATTATTAGCTGCTGTGGGAAGGGAGAGACAAGTTTTTTCTAAGAATGCAGCCCCTGGTAAGTCGACTATGCAACAGTGGAAGACCACATATCCAAGAATATTTGGGTGACTCAAATTGGTCTCGAAAGCGTAATTAAAAAAAAAAAGATAGAAAAAGACAGGGTGGGCAGAGAAAGGGGAACGAATTGAGAGTTCGTGGGGGTTATGACCTGGACATGCAGGTCAGCACAGTCATGTCAGTGACAGTCTTAAGAGGGAGGATCTGGGATAAGAAGATAAAGAAGTCAGAAAGCTGGGACCAGGAGGTCTTGTACAAGCTATGTCTTATGCCAAGCAAGCTTATTCAGCAGTACAGCATCTTATATACTATTTCCAGGGGAAAATGGGACAAAGTCAACAGAAAGCTATCACACAATGGGATGAAGTCAGTAGGAAGCTATTCAAGCAATGTTGCACAAAGGGAACACAGGATATCTCACGTGTGCCACAGACCAGGCACACAGCAGCCTTGGGAGTGATAGCCACAGCCCTTGAGTGTGGCAAGAGTTGAGTTCTCAGGATATGAAACAACAGCTCCCCCAAGGCCCTGGCCCCAGCTATCAGTGGCCTTGCCAAGCATATTCCTATTTTTAGAAAAGGAACTATGGAACCACACTCCTCCCTACATCAGGGTCTCAGGAAAGTCTTGGTTTGGCCTGGCTCTGAAAGGAGGTATAATTTTAAAAATACGTTGCTGGAAACTCTCAAATAACTAACAGAAAACTCTAAAATAAAAATAAGGCCAGTGGAAGAGAGGGAGGCCCCTGAACTCTGTGAGAGATCAGAACAAAGCCCATGAAAAAAATCACAAGAGGTGGAGCTTTGCAACTGGTGGAGTTTGGAAGCGGGAATGTGTCATGTGAGAAGACTTGAAATACATGACTTTGGAAACATGTTTGGCTTCCTCCCCAAATACAGGCATGGAGGCAGATGTTACAGAGGTTTTCACAGGCCACTAACCAGGGTAAAAGTCGCACAGCCAAGTGTTCTTCCTGCAAAAAGCATTAAAAGGTTTGAAAAAGAAAGGTTCAAATCAGGATTGCTTTTCCAAGTCTTTCACTAGGAGATGAGATTTAGATGGTATAGACCAATCCTCACCCAGAAGCCTGAGTATCGCAACCCCAAGCCCCAAGTGTTGGCTGCTGCACTGGACACCATGCCAACCACCTCTCTGTTGTCCACGACCACCTCCACTAGTCTTACATGAGAGCCCTTGAGATAGGGTCAATGAAGGATATGGAGAGAGAATGGAGAATTTCGTGAGAGTAGCTTTGCTTAGAGGAGTACCCCTGTAGCCTGAGAGAGCAATCTGATCAGCAGTATGGTACAAGTGACTTCGCAGATGTTTACAGTTCAGGTCTGCTCCATTGTCACAACCAAAAGGACTAGGCAAAACTCCTGGCTGGTTTTCAGTACACCCCATCACTGTCACCGTGCTGTATGCAGGGGAAGGGAAATGCACGCGTGCTTGAAACAGGCAACGATTTCTGTCTCGGGATCTTTCTGCCCTGACATGGGCTTCTGCTTCAGAAACTCCCATTCATTGGTTATGAAGGACCCAGGAAGTACACTTTGTAATGTGAGCGTTCAACGTGGTGTGGCACATTCCTTATCTTGCTGTTTGATCTTTCCTCTCCTGTGCTCTTTCCAAGCAGGCACAGAACGAGCTGCCTGTAACCAGTTCCCAGCATCTTCTAGGTTGCTACTCTGGAGACCTCTCACCTGACCCACACAGGCTGATGAGGACGTTCGACTTGGATCTCACAACAGTGGAAAGAAGGCTGGACATTGATTATATTCAGCAAATGCTTACGTTGAAATGTCTATGTGTCAGACACAAACATTACTGTGATTTTTGCAGCTACTTCGTAACTGTAATTTTGATACTGTTGTGAATTGTAATGTAAAGATCTGTGTCCCCAATGGTCTTAGACAAGCCCTGTGAAGGTGTCATTTGACTGGGGGGCATCATGCCTCACAGGTTGAGAACTACTGGTCTATTACAAGGTGGAACCAGGATGTTAGTTGAGTTTTCCTGACCGGTAGCCACACCCTTGCTATGACTTGGATGAGTGTCTCCAAAGCTATTTGATCCCAGGGTGGTTGGTATACTGGGAGTCAATGAAGCCTTGCAGAGCAGTGGCCCTGTGGGACATTCCTAGGTCACTGGGGCATACTCTTCAGACAGATTACAGGAGCACAGATTTTTTTCCTCTTTGCTTCTGGGCTGTGGCACTCATTCCTGTGTGCTTCCCCTTGTGAAGATGTACCAGCCCTGCGAGGGGTCCAGAGGAGAGAGGCCATCTGAGATCTCTAAAAGCTTCAGGAAATAAATGTTTTCTCTTTTACAGTTTATTGCCTCGAGTATTTCTTTATAGTGATAGAAATCTAATGCCAGCAGCACCTAAGAGAGAAGTAGAACAAAGGTGAATGCAGCCATTTATCAGCAACGTGAAGAGCTGTACGCAAACATCTCTAAAACAGTGTTGATTGTATTGTTTTAAAGATAAAGGGAGGGTTAGAGAGATGGCTCCGTGGTGAAGAGCCCTGGCAGCTCTTCCAGAGGACTAGGGTTCAATTCCCAGCACCCACATAGCAGTTGACAACTGTTTGTAATCCAGTCCCGTGGATCCAGTGCCCTCTTCTGGCCTCTGTGGGCACCAGGCATGCACATGGTACACAGACACACATGCAGACAAAACATGCATGTACATAAAATAAAATTTAAAGCAAATTTAAAAACAAAGGGAACGTTTAAAAGCAGATGAAAGTGTTATGGGATATTTGTGTACACTGTAAAGATATGCCTCAGCCCTAAGGTACCTTCTGATTTGTTTAATAAAGAGCTGAATGGCCATTAGCTAGGCGGGAGAGGATAGGTGAGATCCCTGGGGATACAGGGGAGGAGGAGGAGGAATCCGGGTGCATGGGATTCACTAGCCAATGGAGGGAGAACAAGAGGTGCAGTATGGAGATGAGGTAACAAACACATGGCAGAATGTAGATGAAAAATTATGGATTAATTAAGTTACAAGAGCTGTTGAAAGCAAGCCTAAGCTAAAGGCCAAGCTTCATAATTAGTAATAATTCTCTGTGTCAGTGTTTTCAGACTGGCTGTCTTGCTTAGAAAGTACTACCACAAATGGCATCCAGTCTGGAGGCTCAAATACTCAAATAGGGCCTAAGAAAGCTAAGAAAAGGTCTGGACAAGGAGCTGTGGCTTCCTAGTCCCACAGTCTCTCAGAAGGGCCGATCCTGGCAGCCTACAGAGGTGCAGTTCCTGGCCACTGCCTTCGGGCTTGAGGCAGCTGCCAGTGCCATGTGCTAAGTGGAGCTACGCTGTGAAAGGACTGGCCCTTTAAGGCGTGGCTTGTGTGGTCAGAGAACACTGCAGAGGAGCAGAAAGCCAGGTCCGGACTCAGAAAAACCTCTAAAAAGGTACACTATGCTTAAAGGTGTGTTTAGTGCTGAAGAAAGAACAGAAAATGGATACAGACTGTCAGCGAAAAAGATAACTTCAAATAATAAAGTCTTTAAAGAGAGAGTAAAGTAATATAAAAAATGAGCCACATGAGGATGAAAACTGTTATAACTCAGGGAGTTTGGACCTTATTTGGTGCTTCGTTAATTTTAAATTTTTTGAATGCTGATGAACAAAGAATAACAGTTGCTGAGAGACACTGGATTGTGGAAGGGACTGCTGAATTAAACTTATTATATATATTTCAGTGTAGAACAAAGTGTTAAACAGACTTATTAATAAAAACCTGGAGCTAGATATCAGGGTTAAAACCTAAGAGATCAGAGGACTAGGAAAAGACACAGCTAACCTCACCTCATCAACTGCTCAGCTTCCAAAGAGACCTACTTCCTGTATACCCTCGCCTATATATGCCTTTCTGTTCTGCCAACTCATTTCCTCTCTGCCCAGCCACATCACTTCCTCTTCCAGCCCAGCTCTGTCACTTCCTGTCTGTCTGTACAGACCTCCAGACCTTTATGGTTAAATAGTCTTGGAATTTAAGGCATGTGCCACCATACCTGGCTGTGTTCCCAGTGTGACCTTGAACTCACAGAGATCCAGATGGATCCCTGCCTCGAGAGTGATAGTATTAAAGACATGTGCTACCATTGCCTGGCTTCTATGTTTAATATAGTGGCTGGCATTTTCCTCTAATCTCTAGGCAAGCTTTATTTATTAGAGTACAAATAAAATATCACCACACTTTGGGAATGTCTTGGTTTCAGAATGGAAGTCAGGTAATGTGTTACATTGGGAAGAGGTTGTGCTTTTGTTTCCACAGGAAACAAAAAGCTATGGATTCCTTCAAAGTTAATGGAGATCAGATTTGACCAGGGGAGACCTCTTGAGGATCTTGGCTACAGACGTAGGAGAAAAAGCCAAGAAAGACTACAGGACCGGTGACATATAAGCTGATCCCTCAACGTGGGAACAGCTCTGAGACTGTATGATAAATCTTGTTGGCTACAGAGTCTTCATGACTTACTATTACATGCCATCCTTTTATATAGCATGGAAGGAGATTTACATTACAGTTTGGTTATACAGTCCAAATGGACTTATAAAGTTCATAGTTGCCTTTTACCTACTTAAACATAAAACAAAAAAATCATCTTTAACTGACTTGTGTACACTGCACATTTCATACTTGTGTTAATACAGATATATGTTACCTTTGAAAGTTTGTGTTTTCAGAAAAAAAAAGGACCAAACACCAATGAAGACAAGTAGCCCAAGTAATCCATCTTCAAAATTCTACCATTGTCCAGCCTCACAGGCTTCTCCAGCCAGAACTTCAGATAAGCCCTATACTTTCCTATCACACTAAACAAAAAATAATACAGCTAGCTCTCCCAGGACTTGACAATTATCCCAATTTTCTTTTCGTTTTCTTTCTTTCTTTCTTTCTTTCTTTTTCTTTTTTTTTCTTTTTTTTTTTTTTTT